TTTTTTGTGCAACCAGGGATTGAACTCAGGCCCTTGTGCTTGCCAGGGAAGCACTTATTCTACTGAGCCATCTCCCCGGCCCCATGAGAGTTTCAATAATCAACACATTGCATACTCTCTTCCCAGTGGTTATCTGCTGTACAAGACCCAGACATGACATCCTATTTACAAACACTACCAGAATAAATCCCTCTATTCATTAAGAGAATGTAACTATGTATCTATCCTAACCACCTTGAATACACAGATACAAAATGGACACTCATCTGCATCCCCTCCCTTGTCTATTTCGTCATTTGAACATAGGTGTGTTAACTCAGCAAAATATTCTAAAAGAGTCCAGTAGCACATAATAGTATTGGGTCTTCCACTTGACTGGCAGTGTCAGAAATTGTTGACCTGAGTCCCCTACAGCTCAACATAACATGGCTTTACTTCTTATACTTTGTTTTTATACTTCTTTGCTGGATGGTTAAGATCAAGATAAAGCAAGACCTATGCAACAAGAGTTGTAGCTTTTGGGTCTGATAAAGTCAGTGAAATCCCCTCAGGATTTTTCCTGAGATGCTGTACCTCAGATTGTAGATCCTTTGTCAGTGTCAGCCATGTAGACGAGTCACGGCCACCACACGGCCAATGTGCTCTCTGTGAAAGCCTGAAAAATGCCCTCCCTCCAGGTGACTCTCCCTAGGCACACTCCACACCATCAACCACCCTCCTCCTTGGCCCCACAATCTCCCCGATCAGAAAACCTGGGACACTGCTGAGCCATATGACACCATAGGGCTGGAAGTTCTGAACCAGTGATGGCAAACCTATAGCACTCATTCCACCCTGGGCTATCTGTACCATGGAAAGCTCTAAAAGGTTCTGAACTATACATAGAGCAATGGGAAAAAGAACACTGTGACCTTCACATCAAGTCTTTTTCACTGTTGTTTTGGTACTGCAATCAAACTCTCGCACTTGCCAAGCAGTTGCTGTGCCACTGAGTGCTGAGGATATCCCTAGCACCCTCGTCGTCTTTTGCTTTGTTTTTTTTTTTTTTTTTTTTTTTTTACAATTTTCTTTTTTGGTATTGTGAATTGAACTCTGGTCCTTGCACTTGCTAGGTAGGTGCTGCAACCGTGAGCTACATCCCTGGGCCTCCCACATTAAATCTTGACAAGGGAACAGGTTTATAGGGAAGGGGCCTTCCCTTGGTCTGACCTCTGCCCCACATCCTTCAATGCCACCACAACCCCATGCTCACCCATGCTAACTTGGCCACCTCTACTACCCTGTAACTTACTCCCAGACACAAGAAGCAACTGCCAACCAAAATCAAAAATAGTGTTATTAATTCTGGTGTCTTTGAAGCACAAAAAAGAAAAAAAGAAAAGAAAAGAAAAAGAAAAAAAGAAAAGAAACACCCCTTACCACATTTCAAGCCCCAGGTCCAGGCCTGGGGACCAGCTCCACAGGCAGTGCAGACCCAGGGGCTGAGTCAGTCCTGGCCACAAGTTCAAAGCGGGACCAGCCCATGGGTTTGGCTCTTAGGGCCTGCCTGGGAGGCTTCCTGCCTCACTTTGGGGTACCCAGGCCATGTATTGGGGTGAGAGAACAGGGGTCAAGGTCAGAAGTCTGGGTCATTCAGTTCTGGTACTCTGGCTGAGGCTGCCAAAGTCAAGGTTCAGACAAGGAAGCCCAAGCCACTCAGGTCCATGGTCCAACAGAGAGGACCAGAGGCAACAGCAAAGGGGTCCGAGTTACTGATCCTAGGATGAAATCCAGTGGGCACCAGGCCTCTCAGTACTGGTGTTCCAACAAGGGCTGGGCAGCTGGGCTCTCTCGTTCCTCCACAGGGACAGGCCAGTCACCAGGAGCTCCAGTAGGTGTGCCACTCTCAGCAGCACTGTTGTCCAAGCAAGGAATGTCCTGGGCTGCTCTGGGGGGTGAGGCCTCAGAGCTGACATCAGGGCTGAGGCTGAGGCTGAGGTCTAGAGGTGCCTGAAGAGGAGAGACAGGTTGGCAGGCAAGCAGCCTTGAGCTTCCTGGGACCCAACCTTCCCAATGGAGCCTTACCTGAGATTTAGGGGTACCTCCTTTGGGGCTCCCTGAGGCTGGCTCTCCATCAGATCCTCCCAGCCCTTTTCGACCTCCCAGACTCCACTTCCCACTGGGCCCCTCAGAACTGAGAAGACCAGGGCCAGGGGGACGGGAGGGCCGAGGACCCTCGGTGGGAGCAGGTGAGGCAGGGGGTGGTCCTGGAAGCCGAGGGGGAGGCCACTGCAGCAGAGGAGGGGGCCGTCCATCACCAGAACTGCTCAGGGAGGGTCGTGGCCCCCAGCCAGGGCCTGGTGGGAGAGGCTGGTCGCTGCTGCCTGTAAAAGACAGATAAGAGAGCAGAGACCTTGGCTGGGCTGTTGCTGTTGTCGCCACTAAGTCTGCCCTGCCTTACCCACTCACCTGCTGTGTTCTCAGGCATAGGATGTATCAAGGGGGGGTTATTGCTGAGGGAGGTCAGGCCACCACCACCACAGTCTGAGTCATCCACATTCCCACCACTATTGCAGCCAGCGCCACAGCCTTTATGAAGCCTGGGTGAAAAGGTGGAAAAGGTGGGGAGACAAGGCTAAAACTTGCGAGGAACACAAGTTCCTAGGACAAGTCACCCAACATCTTGGATATTCAAGGTCCTTATCTCTAAGAGATTTTGCCATCAACTGTGTTTAAAAGGTAAAGGCTACTGTCAGCTCCAGGGAAAAGGTAACACCTCTAGAGGCAGTTAGCTCTGGGAGGGACTCATGTCTCAGGGTTTGAGGCTGGAGTCCAGCATTTTTCACTGAAGGCTGGGAGGACACTGTGCACTCTCTTTCTCACTCTCTCTCTCTGAACCCCTGCAATCCCCTCTGGGAGCTCAGGATACCTTGATGGGACCGAATGGCTAGGAGTGGCAGTCTGGGCTCACCTCTCCCAGCTGTGTAGGAGCCAGCGGGCAATGGCACCCAGGCTGATGGGACCACCCCACAGTGCCCGAAGCTGGGGGTGGCTGCCAGCCAGTGAGGTGGTAAGTGGTGACACATAGATCGGGTAGCCCAGGGGCTGGTCACAAGAAGAGTTGATCATGTTGCGGAGCGCTTGCTTGGCATTCTGGATGCTACCACGTTCAGGGTTGCGGTTGCGAAGAAACACCAGCTCTTGCTGCTGCCCAGCCCATAGGCCACGGACACACTCACGATTTACCTGCAAAGGGCCACAGAAGTCAAGGGCCAACTCTAGGAAGAGGGTGTGGGTTGGAGGACAGAACTGGGCCTTCCCCACCTTGATGACACGGAAGCTGAGGTGGCGCCGGTTGAGCATGATGACCTTGTACTCATCAGAGGCATCATCCATGACATGCCGTAGTGCTAACAGGGAGGGTGTGTTGCTGAGGATGGCACTCCGCCAGGCTGGGTCACCTTCATGCGAGATGACAAGTCGCTCTTCATTGGCTGCAATGGCATCGTACAGTGCTGCTGGTTCCTCATATTCATCTGGGGATGTGAAGTGGTCCTGGGCGGGGAGGATGGAGAAGGATGGGGTTCAGGGGATCCTGCCCCGAGGAAAGGCTTTGCGCTCACCTGTGCATAACGTTAGATGTACCACTCCCCACCTGATGAAGCTTGAGGGCCATGCGAACCCCAGGTGCCACTACACGGTGCAGCAGGTCCATGTCAGCAAAAACCCACTCATCACGCGGGGACGTAATGCGGAAGTCCCCCTTGAACAGGGCGTGCAGGCCATAGAGGAAGGGCTCCAGGCTGGGTGGGAGGAGGAACAAGTCAGTGAGCAAGGACAGGGAGACAGGGCTCTCGGGTTTCTGAGGAGTTGAGACTTTTCCTCCTCACACTGGCTCCAGTCTCATCATGCCAAGGAGCTCATGTCCCTCAGAGGAGAGAGGAAAATGCAAAGTCAGGACTGGGAAAGACCTTGTCCATGTGGAAGAGCCACACCACCAGAAGTACCAAATGGATTTCCACACACAGAGCTCTCTGTTGAAAGGGAGAGGGCGGGAGAGCACTTACCTGGCAGACATGCTGTGTGACGCTGTCCCCAGGGCCCGGCGGCCCAGCACACACAGGCCAAAACACAGCGTGACCAGCGGCGAGTTCCAATCCTGGTCCACGGGCTGTGGCACAAGGACCCCCATCCCCAGAGCCCAGTTCAGACCTGG